ACCCGGGAAGGGAACGGCGGCGGCGCGGTCCGCCCGACGCTCGGCTGGCGGCCGCCCTGGGGCAGGCGGCGCGCCAGGCCGGCCTGGACGAGGCCGAGCTGCGGCGGCTGCTGGTGCGCCCGCGCGCCGCCGGCTGGACAGGCTCCCTGCCGCGCGTCTGCCTCAGTCCGGGACTGGAGCGACCGCCGCCGGCGCCGGTGCCGGCGCCGCACGGACCGGCTGAGCAGCAGCCGGAGCCGGCCGAGGACGATGCAGAGCTCTCGGACAGCGACACGGTGCGTGTCATCACCACGGACAGTTCGGTGAGCGTCATCAGCACCAATTGTTCATCACTGCGCAGCTGGCGGGAGACGCCGGAGACGCCTCGCCTCGCTGCCTCCGGTCCGGAGACGCCGCCTGATGTCTCCGTGACTGACCAGGAACCGGGCGGCGACGGCGGTGCCGATTGCACCTCCAGTACCGGAGAAAGCAGGTCAGCATAAAGACGGCCCGCTAACTGTCCAGGGCCAGGGCGTGGTTGTGCAGCGGCTTGCCTGTCTTCAGATGCAATTTCATGTGTAATGTGGGTTAAATGTCTCGGTCAGCGGTTCTTCAAATTTCTTACGTATCATTTTCACCCTCGGTGCTAACATGACGATACCTGGTCGGTCTGGATCGGCCCGATGTTTGTGTTAGTCTTTTGGAACGCGCTACCTCTCATCTCCAGCAGCTCTGATTAAAGCCTTCACCACGTCTTACAGTACCCTGTGCTCGTCTTCACAGCGCGCCGACGGGTGGTGTCGCGCCCTCGAGTGCCGCGGCGGACGCAGATGACCAGGTCCGGAGCTCGCCCCTGCCCGGCCGCAGACCGGTCGCCGCCACCCTCTCCAACTCAGCCGGCCAGACACCGGCCTCGCCCAGACAGCTCCGGAGACTGGTGTTCTCCGGCGCGCCCGGCAGGCTCCCGCCGTCTCCGAGGACGCCGCGGAGATCGGCCTCGCGCGATCTCCTTGAGTCGCCGGCCGAGCGGCCGCCGGTCTCGCCGAAGCTGCCGCGGAGACCGGCCGCGCACGAGCCGTCGGCCCGTGCCGGCCAGACGCTACCGTCGCCGCAGCTGCCGAGGAGATCGGCCAGTCGCGATCTCCAGAGATCTCCGTGCCAAACGCCGACGTCGCCGCGGCTCCAGAGAACGTCGCCCGGGGGCGACGTTCACCGGTCGCCAAGCTGGGGTCCGGACTCGCCGAGACCGCAGCGCAGGCAAACCGGGCTGGACTCAAGAAGGACGGCAGTTACACCAAGTGAGTCGGACGCACGTAATTGACCAGTAACAGCAAGCCGAGCTACACAACCAGGGTTCGAGGTAAAGGCCAGGACTGCTGTCTCAGACTGTACTACGGTGCCGAACAGCTGCATGCGTGCTATGCAAACATCGATCAAACGCACACACACACACGCATGCACGCACGCACGCACGTACGCGTGCATATATGTACATATGTTTATATTTGTATTTGTAATTTATTACGCTATCTAGCCCACGCTGTCCACGCACTGACTTCTTTGTCTCTGCGTTTCGCGCACATATATGTGGAGGAGTACTAAACTATGTGTGTGCCCATCCGATCAGATTAGGGTCTTTATACAGACTTTTGCGTCTGTGTTTTTCGTACACAAATATTTCACGGAAAGCTATGTCATAATGTGTCACCACATAGGCATCCCTTATCTACATCTCTAGACCACAGCATCTGTGATTTTGTGCCGTGGTGGTAGAAACAGAGGTAATCCTTCTCGCATTCATCCACAGATGGCAGTGCCGTCACAAGAGCCTCCGCCGCTCAGGGTACAACGGATGATTACACGAGCTTCCAGCGGGCCGACTCAGCACCTCCTGCCAGGTAAATGCTTCATGCGAGATTTCTTTGGACAATGATCCTGGTGAGGCCTGGCATCAGCATCTGGTGGCACCTGACTTGGTTCGCTGAGCGGTGGACAACGCAGCAAATGGTCGGCACCAGCCATGCCAGCTGTCTTTGTCAGCTGTCACAGCGGAGCCAGTCATAGTGGTGAACAGCTGAACAGGAATACGGAGCACTGTGTCATTGTTTCAAATTCGCTATAGAACACTGTACCATGTCAAGAAAACTTGTTTCGAACCGTGCCATCCTCTTCGCTCAGTCTCGTACGCCCGCACGCCCAGCTACACTTCATCCCAGTAAGCCACCAATGACGGGGTTTGTTCGGAACCACGCCGAGCACTACACTCGCCCTAATGTCTCCCGCAGGGTGCCTTACTCAATATAGCTGCGAGCCTGTACTATGTACTAGGCAGAGGGACCTGGTGTTCCGTCCGCAGTGTTCACGTCCTGCGTATATGCATACAGCGCATACATTTGAAACATGGCGTGACCTCCCTGCGCGGTAGCGTGTCTACCCCCCCCCCCCCCCCGCCAACTGTGAGCCCGCCGTTGAACGACGTAAGCGACTGCCCATTTCAAACCGCAGCTGTCGCGACATTCACGCTGTTCTTTGTGCATCATTGCGGGCGCCCCAATGGACGCTGCCTGTCAGCCGGTCCGATTGCTGAGCGCACGACAATCAACCGTCACCCCGAACACGTGCTCACGGAGCGTGTGGCCGGCACCGTGGACGCCCAGTGGGGTCACGCGTGGGTCGGGTCACACGTGCCGTGGTCAGCGCAGGCTCGGTCAGGGATGCGGCTCGTCAGGGCGGGCGACCCTGCCGCGTTCCGGCGGTCCGCCGCAGCCGGTGCGCGCCACAGGTGCCGCCGCCGGACCGGACGGCGTGGGCGGGCCGGCCGGCCGGAGCGACCGGACCGGGTCAGGGTCTCGGAGCTAGCGCTCGGAGCGCCGGCCGGCGGCCACCTGCGCCGGGCGCCGACACAGCTGCTGCCGCAGCCGCGCCCGGACACAGCCCTTTGTCGCCGCTGGCCGACGCGTGGCGGCCGGCGCCGCCACTGCCGCCACCGCCGCCGCCGCCGCTCAGTCGCCCACTGACGCTATGCTGGGCTGCAGGCGGGCCGGCAGTGCACGGTTCGGCCGAGAACCCGCGCGGATCCAGTCGGCCGGCGCGCACGACCCCCGACGGACCGCGATGGCCGGAGAGCAGGCGGGCCCCCCTACCAACGGAAAGGTCAGCACACAGTACGCACGCAGGAAACGCGCGTGTAGCTGTCGATGGTGGTGTGGTCCGATTCACCCGGGAGGAATGCCCCAGTGTGTTTGTCTTACGTTACGTGCTGATTCCCGCTGCTGTAACCGGAGATGGTATCAGAGATCGAATCCGTATGGAACATGCCTATTGCCTTGCTCTTGAAGCGTACATTGAAAGCCTAATGTTTTGTTTGGATAATGCCCGCCCTGCGCTCGTGTCAAATGTTTCAAATGACCTGACCTGACCTGCGCTCGTTTCAAATGATGCGCGGTCCACGAATCATGGGGCCATTTAATGTGTAAGCGTGTGTTTGGCTTCGGAATGGATCTTCTTAGCTCAAATGTGAACTGACGAGCGCTGGGTTAATATTATATGCAGGAATTGGTTTTCCTATACGGTGAATCAAAATTAGAAATATGTCATTGCCCTGTTGGTGAAAGTCCCTTCTACACCGTACATCCTTAGGCCATAATTTTTCCGTAACTTGATCACGAGGAACTCTGGCCGGTGGTCCATCGATGTTTGATTACCCAGATGATTGTGACGTCGTCACTTGATGGCTGGATAATGAAAATATGCTCGCAAACATTGCGATTGTTGGTTGCGAGGACATGAAGTGTGGTCACTGATCAGGTAGGCCTAAAAATCGATATTCGTTGCCAGGTGTTTCAAGCAGAACGTGGTAACAATGACAGCTTTCGCACAAGCGGAAAACGGCAATTCTTGAGCGGAATGACATCACTGTGAGACCGATGGGTGTAAAAAGTGAGCATCTCGCATAACGTACATATACAGAACCAAACTTAGTCTGGCCAATCTGCAAGAGAAACCTGGCGAAAACTGACCCATTTGCTTGGGGACGTATTCCACACCGATTTGGACCTATAAGCTATACAGCGTTGTCTTAGCACAGCCAAACCGTAACAAACTATGGTCAAAACCGCTCAGCGGTCTTTAGCAAACCGTTAAATCACGGGTTAAGTTGGTAGCCGATCAAACACATTCGATACAGTTCAATATCACCATTGATGGTGGCCGATTTGAAACAGCCAATTTCATGCATCGAAGACCGTGTATAATCAGCAACCGAATTCGCACATTCGCAAAACCTCACACGTTGTAAGCAGATTTAAGATACTTAGCGTATGAGACTCACTCGTGAAGCTTTGAAGTCGACTGAAAAATTTAGAGTCATCCGATGCGGTCGCAGCGAGCGTCTCAAATATATCAGCAAAAATGTCGGGTTCTGCTAATGTTCTGCTATTGTCAGGTTTTGCTAGCGTGTCGAATGGACTGCTCGTCATACAAGGGGTTGCAAATATAGCGAACGACTCGCATGTCTCGAATGGGATGACAAAGATTCACACTCACATCTTACCGAACGTTTCAAGCGTAGCCACTGTGTCAAGTGGGCTGTTGACTCCCAATTAGTGGCCACGGCTCTGGTTCTAACGCGGTCGGGCCGAGGCCATTTTTGGTACAGCTTGTACCAGACGTCCATGCGTCTCGCATGCTAGCCTTCCGATGTTCCGAGAAGGGTCCTGAGGGTGGAAGGGCAGCTATCTTCTGCCCATGGCGACAGCTGGCTTGGTTCCCGTGCGATACCTCTGCGGTGCGGTCCGGTCTGTGTGTTGGACTTTGCCGTGTCGGTCCCGGCCGTTGTACCGGCTGGCGTTGAAGTCCAATTTCGATGACGTCAGCCGTGCAGCGGACGACCGGGTGAAGCTCACCCAACGCGGCCGGTTCGGGCCAGCATCGATCTGCCAGCGCTGTGTCCGTCACGGACGGCGCTTCGCTGCTGGTAGGAACGCCCTTTGAGCGGGGCCCGAGCGGGGAAGGTGTCGCCGGCTGGCGGCGGCGCCCGGAAGCTGTGCAGCTCGCTCCGTCGCCTCCAGCGCTGAGGTCGCTCGTCTTCCATGCGTCATGCTTGATCTTATCGTTGTTCGGCCAGAGTGCGTCGTCACACGCTGTCCTTGCGACTCAACGTCTCTTGACCTTTGCGGTTCGAACCCAGCGCTCCATGAGAACTCCGTCGGGTGCTTTGTGCACTCGCCTCCGGGGCATTGACTCTCCAGGTTTGAACTTTTCGTCACATGATGTTAAACTTGGTGCCGCGCATCCGCGGTGGGGTTTCATGTGGTGTCATAAATGTGCCCAACGGACGGAGTCACAGGAGTTGGAAACCAAGCCCGCTCAGTCGAGTTAGCCGTCTGTGCTGGACGCCGGGCGTTCTCAGGCAGCCGACCAGCAATCCCCAGTGGCCCAGTCCCGTCCCTCTCGCCCGCAGCACGCTGCGTTGCAATGTCCATTTAACCCAGCACAATTAAACGCCGTTCCAATTCTCACCCGCCGCATTCAAGCCTGTGCACTGGGCTGCGCCGCGAGTCGCCTGATTCTGGCGCGCGCCATCGCCGCCGCCGCCGCGATGTGGCGCACGGCCCCACGCCGGCGGCCCGCCCCGCGGGCACGGCCGCGAGCGGTCCTCCGACCGGCACGGGCCGGGTCAGGCCGCGTCCGTGGGAGCCGTCGCCGCCGCCCAAAATTCATGCCTCCGCTCGCCGCTAATCCATTACGTCGCCTCGCGATGAGCGAGCGCCGGCCACGGCAGTGACAGGGGCGTGGTGGCTCCTGGTCGGCGGCAGCGGCGTGGGCGGGTGCAGGTCAGCCTCCCGGCCCGTGCGGACCCGGTGGCCGGGCTGGGCCGGGCCGGTGCTGCCGCGGCCCGAGCGACGCTGCTCTGACCGGTGCCTGGGTGCGCCACTGTCGGCCTCATCGATCCGGGCCGGCCGGGCAGCGAGGGCCGCTCGTCTCTGGGCGTCGGTCGGCCGCCGCTCGGGCCGGCCAGCAGCGCCGCCGCTCGCCGACACACGTGCCGCTGGACGGGCGTCGGACGACCGCGCCGGCCCTCGCCAACCTCACCCGACCAGCGAGTGGCGCGCCCATCTGCTGGCCACGCTGCCGGCCGATGCCGGCCGGGCCCGGCGGCGCAAGCCCGCGTGGAAATTCGGCCGGCGCCATCGATCGGTGCCGTGGCGGTGGTGACGCTGCGGCGAGCCGTCCCACGGCCGAGCCGCTGCCGGTGCGTGGCGGCGCTGGCAAGGTGCCGCCGGCCGCTTCCTCGGCCCGCCCGGCCGCGCAGACCACGGCGCGGTGCCGCGCGCTGCCGGCGGCCAGCTGAGGCCGCCGTGCAGTGACGAGCCGACCGCCGACTCGCGATGATTGGCCGCGGGCCGCCGCAGGTGAGCGTTCCGGTCCTATCCGCCGCCGCTGCCGGTCAGATCGATAACGAGGGGCAGTTGGCGCGTCCGCACTTCCCGCCATCCGCCGCCCGGTCGCCGTGTCCGCCTGATGTTGTCGTCCGCCATGCCTGCCTGCTCTCGCCTGCCGCCGTGTCCACCCGCTCCCGCCGGCCGCCGTGTCCAATGGCTCTGGCCGGCCGCCCTGTCCACCCGCTCTCGCCGGCCACCCTGTCCACCCGCTCTCGCCGGCCGCCGCGTCCACCCGCTTTTCGCCGGCCGCCGTGTCTGTGTGCTGTTGCCGGGCGCTGCGTACGCCCGCTCTGGTCGACGACCGTGTCCACGCGCTGCCCCCCCCCCTTCCCCTCCTCTTCAATCCATCCTTTGTCGCACTCCTTGCCCACTCATACGTAGATACGCGGATCCTGCTCGGCTCCCGTCTTTGTAGGAGTCTGGCTCGGAGGGACCCACTTGACACCGCAGTCACTGAATCCGATGTGCCATTGGTCAGAAGTATAATGCCGACATGGCACACCCTCTGGCGTGACTGGCCGGGAAAGGCAGTCTCTTCATCAACACCGGAACCAACGGTACGTCTGGGAAACTGCGGCGACGCACGCGATCGCACTCGGCCTGCAGAAGTTTCCCCAGCCGCCGGCGGCGACTCTCGGCGGCATTCTCCCGGCTCGAGCTCCAGGGGCCATAACTCACGCTAACGGGGCCGGCGCTGCGTTGCTCGCCGCGCCCAGTAATTGATGTTGGAAGCGTTTTGGAGCTGACAACGCGCAAAGTGCTGGCTTTCCGCCGATTATTGAGTTACGGCCATTAAGCGAAAACTACGTTGGCGAGGTAGATTGATGTGGCGCAACTTGGTGATGACGTTTTGAATGAATCTTCGTCAGTTTTTTTTCTGGCCAGCATGAGAACTTCCTGAGAGCAGTGAGCTGTGTTTGAATCATTTGAATGCTGCACACGCTTGTGCGTTGCACACAATATCATTGTTAAAACCACGGCGAGTAGTTATTTCAGAACATCTTCGGCAATACTTTGCACGCGATAAAAGAATGGTTCCTTTTGTTTGGCAAAATCTCCTAAATCGTATAATGCAAACCTATGGAAAATTGTTTAGTGGCATGGAATGTTGATTTCCATGTTGCCAAAAATGACGCCAGTAGACGTGTTTGAGGCCTTCAGAGTCATCACATTTTTTTTATCAAGTCTCGCGGTTCTTTCTCAAACAGGTGCAAATACATAAATATGGAACCAATAGGTGCCGAACAAAATTATTTCCTGTGCGTGTGAAACCTTCCGTCAGTCCTCAACTGCAGACTTGGTCTGTTAACGCACTAGTGCAACTTATTTATGCCCAGTGGCGCAGGTAGAGGGCGCAGAAGGTACGTACCCTCCCCCCCCCCCCCCCCCATCGCTACGTTTCGAGGAGCCCTTCGAGCCCCTCGGGACCAACTATTAAGGGCCCGACAAGCCGGCCCGAAGGGCCCGAAAAGTCGGTGTCTGAGCTCTGGGGCCCATTTCTCAAGCAGGGACAAGGCCGGGCCCGCGATTTGCATTGCTCGGGGCCCCTGCAACAATCCGGGGCTCCTAGGTCTGTCAGGGGTCTTGAGTCGACCCGGGGACATTTGCTGAGCACGGACAGACATGGGACCCAGAGTGCCAAAGGGCCACTTGCGCTGGTCGGGCCCTCTGACAATGAAAGGAAACCTGAGAACTGATAATGGGAGTTCACACTGAGATAATGGAAGGGCCCTGTGTCAGTCAGGACCTCCGGTACTGAACGGTGGGCCCTCAAGCCAATTCCACTCATGGACCCGTTAAGCCGAACCGAACTGCATGTGCTAATTGTTGGACCACCCACGGCGATGAGGGACCTTGTGTCAATGAGGGTTCCTGAGTCGATCTGGAGAAAAGCACGCGGTTCAGATGGCCTTCCGCGTCAGTGAGGGGACCAATGTGACGTGATGTACCCTTTTAAGGGCCTCCGGATCGACCAGGGTGCCCCGCCAACGTGACTTCAGAATGACAACGGGAAGGCACCATGTGCTGGGACGGAATGGCCCTTCAGCCCCTGACCGCGAAGAATAATTTGCCCCCAAGTGTTCTGCTTAAGGGACCCCCTTCCCGGAAAAAGGAAGGGGTCTCATAAGTGTTGAAAAGAGTGGGTTGAATTGACTTCGAAAATGAAAAAGGGCCAACCACCGAACGGCTTTGGCCGCTGCAAGTAACACCAGACGGCGGGCGCTCGGCGCGCAAAAACGACCGTCGTGAAATAATGTTTCCGAAAGTCTCTCAAAATTTGCGTGCTGTTGAGAGACTAAACTGGGACAAATCTCGTTTTATAATTTTGAGGTTGTCCTTTGGAGAGATAGCAGTAAACGGAACACGAAAACTATATATTTTACCTTCATTCTTCCAGCTTCAACACCAGATTTTCGTCGGCGCGTTTGTCACCGCTCGGTGTAAGCGCGTAGCCGACGCTACGCAGCCTACGAAGACTGCAACACCGGGCGTCCAGGTTGTGTTTGCTAAGATGTGCGATCGTGCATGTTCAGAACAACCTTACATTAGTTTTCTCATTAACTGATTCGGAATGAACGTTGAACATTTCCAGGCAAGCATGGGTTGGCCATGTTGAGACAAGTTTTGATTCATTCCATCCACAATCCACGTTCACGGAGTCCTCAATATTGCTTTATGGTCCAGATTAAAATTCTGGTGAAGGTTCTGAATTCATGGGTTTAGAAAGAGTCCAATGGACCGTTGTAAGATGAAGAGCGCCGGCGATTTATTATTACCAGGCGTTTAACGCCTGCTTTCTTCAGGCGTTGAATGCCTCCTGCCTGCCAGGCGTTTATCACCTTCAAAATTAAAACAGGGTTCTTGTCACGATAGCTTCTCGCTTGTGTTCCATTTAAAGGGTAGCAAGACTGCAAGTTATGCTAGCAACGCATATGTAAGATTTTACACAATTTTACGGATAAACTTGGATGGTTCTCCTCGGTATCTAAATACGTGCCTGTTATCGTCAGTCATGAATGGTATCATGCTCGTATTCACCTCTGCCCCGGACTACGCATTCAGACGCCTCAGGCTAGACCGCTGAATTCACTTAAGCCGTTCGGAGTGCAGCTCCCAGCTGTGAGCGTTCGCACCCGGCCGTACAGGGTCGAGCGCAGGCGTCACGCGCGTCACAGCTGCTATCGTCGGCCGGTGCCGCCGCCTCCTGTCCGCTGCGGCTCGGGCCGGTAACCGGGCTGCTCGGGCTCCTGCCCAGTCAGCTCCGGTCGCGACTGACAACACAGATCGCCGCGAATGTGTGCGGCAATAACGCGGCGGACGGTGAACCGATGTGGGTGGAATGGCGCCGTTCTTCGTACCGATGTGGGTAGGATGACGCCTCCCGTTCTTTTCAAGGTCTGCTCTTGTCGGAACATGTCTGACTTGTGTGATGATATATGCGTGCAGGTGGGCCGGGCTGTCTGGGATGCTGCGTTCTTCTACTTTCATACCTGATATTTTGACACATGTTACTAGGTACATATCTGAGTGTCATTGACCTAAGTTCAGTACGAATAAATGCCAACCTCTGGCCTCCGCCGAGGCATTTCACCCACCCTGCGTGCCGCGCCGGTCGGCGCGGCTGGGGCTGTTGCCCTCTCCACCTCCTACAGCAGACTGAGGCGACACCTGCCTGTTTCAGGAGAGTCGGATCGGGCGGCCGGCCGTCTCCCGGCTGCCTCAGCGCGTGACATCCGGCCCCTCGCCGTCCGGCCGGCCGGTGCACACCTGGAGCGTCAGGCACTTCCACAGGTGACGTGACGCCGACTGGGCCACGTCGGCGCGGCTGGCACGCCTAATCTGCTTCACAGACTTGGAGCGGCAAACAGCACCTCAGGGAACGGCGCGCACGGTGCCTTGCCGGCGCCGCGGAATTGACTGGAGATATTCTTCTCTCTGGACAGAAGCACGATATATCCAGAGGGAATATTGTGCCGTAACACGATGGGCACGGTAGCAGTGTCTTAAGAAGCCCGATAAGTGCTTATGGGGTTAACGGCTTCTTGCCTACTTCTTTCACGCATATACTCTGCTGAAGCCTCAGGACCAGTTAGGTCTAATAATAGCACCTGGTAGGGTCACTGTAGTACCGGCAAGACGTGGTAAAGATATTATTTTTGATTATTTTCGATTCCATATTATGCTGTCAGCGCTCTGTAACAGCACTACGCTTCTCCCCTGCAGTCGCGACGGCCGTAGTCATGACCACCGCGGTGGCATCAGTGCGAATAAAAGAACGTTTGTGATAGGCCCAGTGGGCGGCAAGGGCCTGTTACCGATAAGCACATTGGTTGAAGTTTAAACGGTGCGTCACTACGGTATATGTGATGCTCCCATTTCCAAAGCCAAAATACACCTCAAAAAGAGCCCTTGCAGTAAATCCCATAGGAGAGAATTCAAAGTCATAGGATAACGTTTCATTGAATTCGCAGGATGAAAGCTTCATATTCGGATTTCGAGGGGACTGGCTCGTATCGTGCGCGTCTGATTTTACAATCAGTGAAAAGTACAAAAAAGGCGGCATGCTCCCTTTAAGTTCCTGAGCGGAAACTCCTGCTGTCGCCGCCACGCCCTGTTTTGGAGACTTGCTCGCACGTTCGTTGTCAGAAGGCCGTCTGGTGGCAGCTGCGTGTGTGACGTGCGGTCGCGATGCCGCCGCCGCAGACCGCCAGTGTCAACCGCATTAATGTGTGGTGCCGGCGTCGGCCGGCGTCCCGGTCCAGCCGCCCGATTTCTGACCCGGTCAGCTGTGTCGCGGCACGTATGACGTCACCGGCCTATTGATCCGGGAGGGCGGTGTGCCGCGGGCGCCGCGGCCACCGCCCACCGCCCGCCGCCGCAGCACTCAAACACACCGCGTATTATTAGCCTGGCATGGGTCGCATCCCTGCCCCCAAAGTCATGCGCCAACTTTGGCCATTTATCAGTCTGCAAGGCCAGCCGGATAAGACCGGCATCGTGCCAAATGCCCGTGCCGAGGTCTGGGAATGTGGCATCGCTGCTCTCAGAAGAAATTAGCATGTATACATATTAGCTGTCTTCATGCTGGACTCACAACGGCTCCGCCGTTCGTGTAACCCTGACTTATCTGAGTGCGGTGTGGCATCAGGAGTTCTCCATCACTGTTCACCAGCTCTGTGCGTTAGCTCTGGGGCGTGGGCTATTTGATTGCTATTAAAGCTGCCGAGTTAGTTTTAAGAGCAAGACTCCCGTTAACATTTCTTCTCCCCGTCGCTGGTGCCCGTTTTCGCTGTCTCCGTTGTCGGCGTGTGAGCTCCGCGCTGGACGACGTTGCCTGCTGCCTCAGACGCTCGGAGCGCCAGACGGGGGCTGACGCCTCCGCAGCGGCAGCGCTGACCGTGGAGGACCTGGAGGCAGCCGAGCGGCCACCGCAGCGCGCCAGCAGCGCCGCCCTGCCGCCAGAGTGGACAGCCAACTCGGCCAGCGAGGCCGTCGCCAACGCCCGCGGCAACAGAGGTGCGTCGCCCCCCCCCCCCCCCCGGCACATAGGCGTATGCAGTCGTTTGTGCGTGCGAGAACCCGTATAAACGTATTGCCAAGTCGGCGTCGATGGGGAAATATGCTAGGAAACTGGGTGCCTGTTAGACGCGGTTAGCACAAAATCATGGCATATAATTGCATGCAACAGTTATGAGGCTCTTTCCGTTGCGATTTGGTAGCTTTTCGCATGACTTCGTCATGAGTCTTATATTTCAGCAATTTATGCGGGTATGCCAACATGCTATCGACATTGCACGTGACTACGGATAGTTTTTCAGCTTTGATGATCGCTTGACGTTTGCAAACAAGTTAGCTAAATTTGGCTTTGATAATCGCATGGCGATTTGCAATCGACTCATTGAAAATTGCTCAAGAGTCAGACCAATGCAACTTCAAGTGCTTTATTCCTGAATTGTATATAGAACCAAAAGTTTCAATCAAAACTGCGTAGTACCAACATCAATGGATTCTGAAGGCATGACAGGCTCGTCATGATCGTGGCACATTATATGACATACCTGACATACGTGACATACCTGACGACCGATGGCCAGATCAGTGAGCGCTTGCTCGGAGGCTCGCGCGAGACGCGCTACACGCGTGCTCAGTCCTCGTGGCTGTGTTGGCAGGCGGGGCATCAGGAGGGCGGCAGCCGGACCAGCAGCGCACCACCGCCGCCGGCTCCGGCTGGGGCACGCGCCTGTTCGCCGCCGACGGCTCGCCGCTGTCGCGCAGCAGCTCGGTCGGCTCGCTGGACACGCGCTCCGAGGGCGAGGCGAGCAGCGGATCGGATGACGAGGGTGCGCGACTGCTGGAGCGCTGCATCCGTGCCGCGCTGCCCAAGAGCCGCTCCGAGGGCAGCTGCCTGCGGCGGCCGCGTGGCCGGCCCGGCCGCCGCCGCCGCTCGCCGGCCGCGCCCGGCCACTCGGGCCCGCCGTCGGACGCCGGGGAGCCGGCGTCACCTCCGCCGCCGGTCTCGACCGAGCCGCCGCCGCCGCCGCCCGCGCCGGCCGCTGCACTGTCGCTGTCGCTCACCTCTGGACGATGTGAAGCGACAGCGGCGCCGGCCACCCGGCCGGCCGCCGCCAGCTGGCGCGCCTCGCCGCCGGCAGCCGAGGCCGACAGCATGACGGCTTCGCAACGGGTGGCGCGCGACGCGTCGGTGGTGACGGCGGCGCTGGAGATGTCGCGCGCCGTCATGGCGCACAGTACCGAGCTGACCAGCAGCATCGAGTACCTGGAGGGCGTCGGACCGCCGTCCATGATGGACAGCGGCGCCTCGGTCAACGGCTTCCTGTCGAGCGGCTCACTGAGCAACGGCCGCTCGCCGCTGCTGCCGCGCCGGCCGTCGACTAACAGCCGGTTCGTGCCGGAGATGATGCGACGCGCGCTGGGCGCCGGCGCGCCGCCGCCCGGCATGCAGGAGTCGGCCGAAGGCCTCAGCAGCCTCAGCAGCTGCCAATCCAACATCGACCACGTGAAGCCGCCCTCCTACATGGAGGAGCTCGACATGGAAAACAGCATGCTGAGTCTGGAGAGTCTGCGTTCGGAGGTGGCCGAGTCGCGCGGCGCGGCGGCCGACAACCTGGCGCTGCTCGAACCGCCCACGCTGTTTCACGAGATGACAGAGCGGTGCGACTCAACCGTCGGGCCCGGCTCAGAAACGCTCGGCAGCGACACGGAGATGTGCGGCCAGGAGGAGCTGCCGCTCGACCCGCCCGAGCTGCCGCTGGACGGTGTCACGCCCGAGGCGTCGCCGCTGCTACCGCGCCGCGGCGCCCGCCAGCGCCGCCGCCGCTCCGACGAGCGGTTCCGCACGTTCACGCGCGCCGCCGTCTCGGACGACACGAGCAGCACGGCCGGCTCCGAGCTGACACTGACGCCTGGCGCCGACTCGGCCGCCACTGAGACGGACGAGACGCTGTGCGCCTCGCCAGCGTCGGCGCGCGCGCGCCGCACCTGCCGCCAGCGGCGCCAGGAGGAGCGCGAACGCTACCGCACGCAGACGGTGGAGAGCGCCTCAGACGAGCTGCGACGGCCGACGGCCGACCCGCCGGCACCGGCTCCGGCCCGGCTAGACATCCGCCAGCTGGCGCAGGAGGCGCTGCGGCGCACGACGCGGCAGGAGCCGCCGACCGGCCTGCGCCAGCTGGCGCAGGAGGCGCAGAAGGCGATCGCCTGTCTGCATGCAGCCGGAAGAGGCGCCCCGCTGCCGGCGCCGCTGCCTCGGACCGCACCGCCGCCGCCGCCACCGCCCGAGCCGGAGCCCGAGCCCGAGCCCGAGCCCGAGCCGGCGCCGGCTCCGGCGCCGGCAGACTGCTCGCCGGCCCGCCTGCGGCCGCGCATCGTCAAGCCCGGCGAGGAGACGCGCCGCGAACCGGTGGACGACGAACCGGAGGTCAAGGGGGTGCGCGGGAAGCGGAAACCGCTCTACTCGGCTCCGCGCCGGTCGGACGCTGCCCGGCGCGAGCCGCCCACGCCCAAGAAGGTGACGTCTGCCGCCAAGACGGCCAAGCCGGCAGCGACGGCGGCCCGCTCCGGCTCAGGCAGCTCGTCGTCGAGCTGCACGGTGCGCGGCACCAAGACGACGCAGCTGCGCAAGGTGATCAGCGGCGCGGCGGTGGCGGGCACGACACTGTCGCGAATCTCGCGCTCGACCACGCCCAGCCCGGCCGGCAGCGCCACCTCCAGCCCGCAGCTGGCGCTTCGCCGGTTCGGCTCGGCCGGTAAGGCAGGTGTGGTGAGCCGGGAACTGCCGCGACCGGCCTCCACCCCGGCGGCAGCGGCGGCGGCGGCGGCGGCGACGGGCCGCGCCGCTGTGCGACGGCCTGTCTCTGTGCCGGCAGCGGTGCCGACGTCTCGGCTCCAGCGGCCCTCCTGGGTGGGCTCCGTGCGGCCGTCCCGCCCGGCGACCGTGACGCGCACGGCGCCGGCGCCGGCGCCGGCCCTTCCCTCGCCCGAGCCGCCACCGCCGGCGCCGGCGCCGCTCGTCAAACAGGGCACGTTTACGCTGGACGAGCCGACCCAGGAGCAGACGGCGGCCGAGGCGGAGGCGGACAAAGCGCACTGCCCGCCGCCCGCGCCGACGCGGGCCGGCCAGATCGCTCGCGCCCTATCGGCCCAGCTGAGCCGGCCGCCCAGCGGCAGCCGGCCGCCGCCCAAGTCACAGAGCGGCCAGGCGCTGGCCGCTCAGCGTTCACGCATCCCCAAGTCACCCAGCTACGAGAGCACGCTAACGCTGCGTGTGCGCTGTTCGAGCCAGTCGCCAGGCGCGCGCCGCCAGCGGCCGGCCTCTCCGCGCCGCGGCCGCCAGCTCCGCCAGAGTGCCAGCAACTCCAGCATTCAGTCCGCGCGCGGCGGCGCGCGGCGAGCGCAGCGCCAGCAACTCCAGTGTCAGCTCGAACGCCTCCACCGGCGGCGGCGGCCGCCAGGAGGAGAGCACCGGCAAGATCGCTGCCCTCTGGCGCCGCATCGAGGAAAGTCGCGCCAAGCAGCAGCCGAAGGGCGCCGACAGCCGGGTCTGGCTCAAGGCCGCCGGCGAGCCGGGCGACGCCAACGCCAACCGACCGGGCCGGCGCGGCCCGCTGACCGACGGCGTGGCGCCGCGCGCGCACCTCCTCTTCACGCCGCACGGCTGGCGCCGGACTCACTCGCCGGCAGAGTCGCCAACCGAGCCGCCGCGCGCGCACACCACCGCCATTATCCCGCCGTTCAATTACAACCCGCCGGCGGGCGCGGCGCGGCCCGCCGCCAGCGCCTCTGGTGACGGTGCTGAGAAGCGCAAGCGCAAGTCCGGCGCGCTCGCAACCACCTGACTGTGTCTCCCGGCCGCAGGGTGATGTGTGTGATACTGTGAGCTCGGGCGGTGCCGGTGGCGTGTGATGCGTGGATACACCACTTCCTCCGTCGGGCCGCAGAACCGACGCTCACTTCAGCTCCGGAGCTCGTACTAGTATTCGCTATTTCTCTCAACGTCCCGAAGGGGCGACCGTACCATGCGGTTTTCTGTCTGGTGTGATAGATTTTGAACCTAAGGAGGTGATTTTTTCAATTGTATTTGTTCCGTGATAGAGGATCTTTGCGTCGCGTTTGCCTAGTTCTGAACTCGCTCCTGTATCTGCCTTGACTGGGATGGAGTATCATTGTGTACTCCTCTGCTCGTATATGGCAATTTATTGCATAATAAACAAGCAGCTTTTGTATTCTCATTTTCTAGCCTTGCTCAAAGCCTCCTTGTGTCATATGTCATATGTCAAAACCACGCTGTCTCAATGCAAGGCAAGAGACAACATTTACATTGGACAGGTGCAAGGTAGGCCACCACGTGTGTCATAACTTTCCGAGCCATCACACACAGCGACGCTGTGTCCAGCGACACGCGACGGGCGGTGGTGTGGGGCAGATCAGGCTGCTGGCAGGGGAGGCGCCCGGCCTCTGGTGCGGTGGCCCGGCACGTCAGCATCAGTTCGCGTTCCCTCTCCCCCGCCTGGACTGCTGTCGTCCGCTGTGTACCAGATACCTCTCCTGTATCTGATCCCAGTTTCACTCTCCTGTGTCGGTTCCCAGTCAACTCCCCTGTATTGGCTCTCAGTCCGACTCTCCCGTGTCAGCTCCCAGTCCAACTCTCCTGTATCAGCTCTCAGTTCGAATCTCCTGTTTCGGTCCCCAGTCCGTCTCTCCTGTGTTGGTTCGCATCCCACCTCTCCTGTATCGGTCTTCAGCCCGCTCTCCCGTGTTGGCTCCCAGCCCGCCTCTGCTGTACCGGCTCTCAGCCCGACTCTCCCGTACCGTCTCCCAGTTCGGCTCTCCTGTATCGGCTCTCAGTACGGCTCCCCCATGTCGGCTCTCAGCTCGACTCTCCACTGTCGGCTCCCTGTGCCAGCAACAGCCCCGGCAGCTCGCTGCCCCTGGTGGCTCCTGGCCGTCAGCCGCAGACAGTGCGCACTCCGAATCCGCTGACCGTTTGCGGTCGGCCCTCCGCCACTGTCGACCAGACCAGGCGGCCGTCAGCTATACTGATCTGTATTTAGAGTGGTGCCCGGAGACCTGGCACCACGGCTGCCGGACTTGGTCAGCGGCCGGGCACGGCGCACACCACGTTTGGCAGTCGGCACTGACGCCACTGGCGCTGTTCGCAGCGCTCGCTGTGCACACAGCAGCACTGCGCCCGACACGTGCGCAGTAGCTCGCACCAGAGTTAGACTCGCACGTTCACACCCACGCAGGCCCGAATTACGCGCTATGTACGAAAAGACGCGGACTAGGAATACAACTGCACGCACAAACCGACACGGTCAGGGTTGCACCCGTACATACAAAATCGGCGCACGCTGGGTTATACCCAATGTATAAACACGGCACCGAACATCCCCCTCCCCCGGCTCCATCTCACAGCCACAAGGCAATGGCATTGCTGACTCCTTCGAAAGGTAGCTCACAAGGAAAACGTTAATTGCACTCGGTTCGTAACCAGACGGGTAACATTAAAACATGATAAATGTTTATAAGTTACAGAACATCAACATAATTTGTTCGCTGATTACACCTTCACTTAGCAATCCCGTTAATAATATTTCCTTTTTATAAAGGTGCCACAAAGACCCCGACGCAAGCGCAGAGCTGACCAATTCAGACAATACAAACGCAAAAACGCGATCGCATGAGCACTAAAAGGCAGTTTCAACGGTCCCCTACCTAAAGGTAGGAGATACATCAAGTACCTCCTCCCAACCAACATGCAATCCAACACGGACGTCCGTACAACCTGCAAACCCGTCTTGTGTTCCTTCCCTGGTCAGGTACAAAATACGCGCGTCGAGCAATACGCCGCCGCGCTCCGTCTGGCTCCGGGCCCGCAGTCCGTCCTCGCCCATACATCAGCCGCCAGGGCCCCCGGCGCCGCCGCTCAGCCTCCTGAACTGACGGCAGCATCAGCGGCGACGTCAGCGCCCCATCCGACGCGGCGCGAGCGCCCACGACTCGGCCCGGAAGACGTCCCGGACGCCGCTCCACACCGTTCCGTGATGTCGCCCGCGCGGCCCCGGTCTGACACGTGGCGCTCGCACAGGTCACGCGGTGTGGTAACACTGCTCAGCCCTCGGGCGCCAAAGGTCCCGAGCTCACGGGTCCTTCCCCGGCAGACCGCACGCTACGGCCCCGCTTCCGTCGGCCGCTGGGCGCGGCCGTGAGCTGACATGCACGCCACGACGTTGGTCCGCAGGTTGTCGAACATGGTGGACAGACCCTCAAAGGCGGCGTTGCCGATCAGCTGGCGCAGGTGGTTCTGGGAGCTGGTCAGCTGCTGCGCCGAGCGCTGGTCGACGCTGCTGGGCCCGTGCTGGCCGTAAGCGTGGCCGGCGCTGGGGTGGGCGCCGGCCACCGCCGGCAGGCTGGGGTGGCCGGGCCGCTCCGACTGCGGTGGCCAGTCGGCCGGCTCGGCCGCCGGGTACCGGTGGATCAGCTGGGCGGCCACGGGCGGCTGGCCGCCCTCCAGCCGCACCGGCTGCAGCTCCGCCAGGCGCGGCTCGTCGCCCGCCGCCGGCTGACAAAACTTGAGCACCGAATCACGACGCGCCGTGCCCGCCACGCCGGCTGGCCGCTCCGCCGGCGGCAGCGTGCGCGAGCCGCCGGCGGGCGGCGCGGCCATCGGATTGTCGGGCTGCCCGGCCGCGGCCGGCACCAGCAGCAGCTGGGCGCCGGTCGGGTCGGCCGGCGGCGCCGACCCAGCCACCTGCACCAGCACCAGGTGACCGGCGGCGGGCGGCGCGGCGGACGGCGCGACGGCTGGCGCGGCCGACTGGACGTCAGCCGGAAGCTGCGACGGCTGGGCGGTGGTCGCCGGCGCCGGCTCGTCGGGCTCGTCGTCGGCCGGGCTGCCGGCCGGGCTGCCGGCCGCGCGGCGGATCTTGGCGCGCGCTTCGTCCCGACTGAGCCGGTGCGAGGCGGCCATGTGACGCGCCAGTGTGTCCACCCGCCGGCTGGTCACACGGCAGTACGGGCAGCCGAACTCCTTCTCCTCTGCCGCAGGACGGCGCACACGTCAATCGACATCACGCGCAGGCCACAACCGGCCCAGAGACAACTAACGCAGCGCGACACTACATCGCAGCCTTCGGCAATGCACATTGTCAATTTAGACGCCCGAGCACGACACAACATGCTGGCAAGACACTCTGACATTCGTTGGATCCAACTTCTTCCAAACATGGCCTCAAATACACTATCCCCAAGTGTGGTGTCGGAGCTGACACCGTGTCGGTGCTGTCGTTGCGTCAGTACTGACCCGCGTGCGCCTGCTCACCTGTGTGGATGCGCTGGTGTCTGCGCAGGTCGGAGCGGCGGGAGAAGTGCTTGCCGCAGGTGGAGCAGCTGTGGCGCTGCGCCGGCCTCGGCAGATCATGGCACTCGCGCAGGTGCTGCGACAGCGTGGCCGGCGTGCGGTACAGGCGCGGCTCCGGACACACCGGACACCGCTCCTCCGCACTCTCTGCGGACACACGGACACGGTACAGGCGCGGCTCTGGACACAGGATACCGCTCCTCCGCACCCTCCGCGGACATACGGACACGGTACAGGCGCGGCTCCGGACACAGGATACCGCTCCTCCGCACCCTCCGCGGACAAATGGACACGGTACAGACGCGGCTCCGGACACACAGAATACGCTCCTCCGTACTCTCTGCGGACATACGGACACGGTACAGGCGCGGCTCCGGACACAGGATACCGCTCCTCCGCACCCTCCGCGGACAAATGGACACGGTACAGACGAGGCTCCGGACACACAGAATACGCTCCTCCGTACTCTCTGCGGACATACGGACACGGTACAGGCGCGGCTCCGGACACCAAACACCACTCCTCCGCACCCTCCGCGGACATCGGACAAAACGAACAGGGTACAGTCCACGCATGGTACACCAACATGACGAGGTACATGTCACGCTGTGTAGACACACGTCACGCCACACAGACATGACACGGTAGCGATTACGTGCTGGACGGATAGGCTCGGAGAAAGCAATCTGAGTGGGTAGAGATATGACATGACAACTTCCACCGGACTGGACTGTAATTGGCGTGGACGAATGTGCACACGGCGTCGACAGCAGCTGCAGCCTCGGGTACAGACATCTGCGCTAGAAGCACAGGCAGGCGTTGTTGGTACAGTGGTAAGCATAGGTGCCTTCCCAGCAGTTAGCGCGGGTTCGACCTCCATCTATCGCAAATGCCCGTTTTAAAGGTCTATCCGACAATGCACACAGCTGCGTCTATGAAACAGACAACCGAAACCTACCTCAGCGCTCGTCCAAAGACGCCGCTAAAGTTGAGAACAACGTTCGTCGGGAGACTTCCCTTCCCCATGAAACGGGCTAACTTAACGTCTTATACAAATTATCGTCGTCGCATATAAGCCAAATATAGCCTACACCAAACGGGCATACGACAGCCAGGTGGCCGCAGACGGAGACATCACGTCCTGCCGACAGTGTACCGCGGCGACCCCGGCTCGGTGGCGACCCTGGCTCGGTAGCCATGAGCCGTCTGATGGTCGCTGCACACCCACCCTTGTGCTTCAGCATGTGCTTCTTGAGGTTGCCCTGGTCGGAGAAGGCCCGGCCGCAGAGCTGGCAGGAGAAAGGCTTCTCGCCGGTGTGAGTGCGCAGGTGCCGCTGGTAGTTGTACTGGCAGGTGAAGCGGGTGGAGCACACGGCACACTGCAGACCGCCCTCTGGAAAGTGGCGGCCGCCGCTATAAAGCCGGCAACGCTGCACGCGAGCCGAGTATGGCAGTCCGCCAGCACCGTAGATACCTCAACCAGACATAAAAGCCAACCGAGCGAACGAACAAAACTAACAAAGACCCGTTCACAAAGTTCCCAAACGCATATGGACACTGCGAGAACTTCAACTCCCAAGCCAGATCTGACATCCCGGGAGACCATCGATGAAACTGGAAGCTGGATCATGTGCCATATGTGATCAATCTTGTTTGAAGAATTTTCGGAAAATACTGCATGTTCCTTACGTAAATCGCATGTGTCGTTAGGTGGCAGGGCACGCACCAGACGTGCCCGCTGCGTCAGACGGACGCCGCGGGGGCCGGACCTGACACGCCACTCACCTGTGCTGTGGGTGGCCATGTGGCGGTCCAAGGTGGACTTTTGTAGAAACTTGGCCGAGCAGATTGAGCATACGTGAGATGGAGGAGTGCCTGGTGAGAGTTATCCGCGTGAGTGACCAGCATGAGTCAGATGCGCACATACATACAACTTCATGTAAATGGCAACAATCAGCTTGGAAAGTCTAAATGGCCTGCCATGAAATCACCGAGCTCCGATGAATTGTCGATATTGTTATCAGAGCCTATCCGATTACGATAGCCTCCGTTGTCATTGAACATGCCCATCCCTGCGCGAAAGTGAGCATAGACAACACAACAGGCGCCATTACAGGCAACCGTTTTGTTTTGCGTTTCTTTTGCCATAATTAGAGACTCCAGACAATCAGCTTAGCCGTGCTTTTGCAGCAGCGATGTCAGTCAGCTGAAGCAAACACAGAGCTTTGGAACACAGCCGCACACGAGCACATACATGGCGAACTAAGCACATGACTGACTTGGCTACAACACACCTTTATGCCTGTCCATGTGATAGTTGTAATGCTGCTTTGCATTCCCTCTCCAAGGGCACAGAGAGCAGCTGAAGCGAGCCTTGCCCGTGCGACAGCGCACGTGGCTCTTCCAGTGGGAGAATGTAGTGAAGTGTTTTTTGCACTCGATGCACTCGTATTCGGGCTTTGATCCCTCTGTGGAGAACGTTGCACGCAAATTAGCGGCCTTCTTGGTCCAATCCGTCCATGGTAAACAAATACCAACCACATCCGTGCGATGCATATGTTGTGTATGCATCCCCGCCCACGGCGACAAGGCACTATGTAGAGCCACAGAAGTGCTGCATGTTGGGACGGTTATAGAAACAAAGCTCGTTATTCCCTCAGCTACACATCGCTCCACGCAACCTCCGCCACTCCCCTCGCCCCCCAACCACACGCACCCGCCCATACCGCGCCCAACACACCCACCTGTCTCCACCTTGCGGACCACCATGAAGGCAGTGAGCCGTCGCGAGCTGCCCCTCTTGGAGCCAGGAGTCTTGCTGCGCCGACCTTCGCCGTGACCGGACTTCGCCCTGGACTCAGGCTCGGCCAGTGACGTCTTGTCCCCCGCCATGTCAGAACTGCCGCTCTTCTCCACATCGACCCGGACGACTAACTCCGGCCGCTCGGTCTTCTCCTGGTCGACTGGGGCAGACGCCTTCGCACTCTTGCTCTCGTCCTGGTCGAGCCGGGCCGCCAGCGCTGAGCCCTTGGCTTTCTGCTGGTCGACCCGGGCGGTCAGCCCCGAGCTGTTCTTCTCGCCGGCGCTGCGGTCCTTCTCCTGCGAGCTCCTGCTCTTCTCCAGGTCGACCAGGGCCAGGATGCGGGCCTTCATAGAGCGGGGTGGCGGAGGCGGCAGCGCGGCGGACGGGCACGGCGACGACGGGCCGCCGCGGGGGCTGGCCGGCCGCTGCACGTCCGCCGCTGGCGCCGGCTCCTCCCGGCGCTGCCGTTTGGTGCGCGGTCTGGCGCTCTTCGACGGCAGAAGCTCGGCGGCGCTGGCCGCATGGGAGTGCTTCCCGACGGGCTTGTTCATGATGAGTGCTGTACTTTCGGCGAGTGTCTGGGACTTTCGTTTCGCCGGCTTGCGTGTGGGCTGGGGGCTGCTCGACCCCCGGAGTCCAGTCGAGCTGTTCTCATCCAGCGGTCTCGCAGCCGGAGCGGAACCGGCCGTCTCTACGGGGGACTGCCCAGGAGCAGCGGTGTCATTCATCTTCAGGTGCACAGAGGATGCATCAGAAGCGTTCACCTCGCCGGACAACGTTCGGCTGTCCACGTCTTTGGCTGTTTGTGTGCCCACTTCTCCGCGCTGAGGCGCCGGCCGGCGCGCGCGGGTGGCCCGTTCTCCGCTTTCTGTGCCATCAGACGGAGCCCGATCGGTCGGTCGAGGCGGCCTTGGCGCCGGTGCGTCCCCGCTCACCCGGCCAGACCCCTTCGGCCAGCCCTGCGGTACATCTCCTACTCTGGCAGCCGATGAGGACGCCGCCCCGGCCGCGGACCTCGGTGCCGACACGGACCAGCTCTCCGACACAGGCGCCGTGGCGGCCGCCGGCCCCGGCGACGGGTACTCGGCCGGCGTGGGCGAGGCCGCGGCGCCGGCCGGTGACGAGCGGCCGCGACTGCGGAGCACGCCGCCCGCCGGACGGAACGCTGAGTCGGCCGCTCCGGCGCCCGCCAGCTGACTGCGCAGCTGCAGGATACGCGCCGACGGCTGCAGAAAGGCTGCCACCCGGGCCGGCTCGTCAGCTGCGCCGTGCTGTCGGGCCGGGGACGAGCCAGCGCCGGCGGCCGACGAGCCCGCCCATACGGAGAAGGCGCCGGCCGCCGGCGCGCTGAGCCAGGCCGCACCCAGGCCGGACGTCGGGCAAATGGCGCCCGGCTGACCGGCCGGCGGAGCGGGGGATGTCGGCGGGGCGTCCTGGCCCTGTCCTCTGGCGTCAGGCCGGGCCGGCGGCGCGCGCTCCGTCGTTCCGGCCGGTGCCAAGCCTGCCAGCGGCGCCGCGGGGCCGTCGGCACGCCATCCTGGCACCAGCAGCGGGCCCAGCCTGCGCTCCAGCTCGGCGCCGGCCGCCTCCTCGTGACGTCGCGACGGCCACAGCTGCTCGCAGCTCCAGTACGGCCCGGCCACCGCCGCCGCCTCTGCCTGTGGTGCTGCCGTCAGAAATGGTCGCGATCACGGCATGTTTGAGGTCCGTGTAGCACAACAATCGGTGCATTTCCGTAACGAGCAGCCTAAAGTAAATGACAATAATCTGACCTTATGCCTCAGTCACGGATTTGTACGCCCAGAAACATCCACATTATTTCACTTGACGACAAATGCAAGGACTCGTAGCACCTGCCAGTGCTAAGAGATGCCACCGAATAGCACCTGTAGCGCAGGTGGCACACTATAACCACCTTAACAAGAAAACATTTGGTCATTCGCAACACGACCTCAGGGCAAAAACGACCCTCAAGGATCTAAATGCGCCAGGAGAGGCTCCAATTGCGGGCGATGGTGGTATAGTGGTGAGCATAGCTGCCTTCCAAGCAGTTGACCCGGGTTCGATTCCCGGCCATCGCACTCAGCGTTTTGTGTAGTGAAATTTCCGCCAAACGACTCTGAAGTCGGATAATCCACTGCAGGCACTATACATACCTTTACAGGCGTAACATGAATCATGCACAGGAAAAACCCCATTGACATTAATGATGCCCATGCACAAACGCAAAAGGTACATACAGACCAGTAACCATATATGACCATGTTTAAAATGGCAATGACATTGTTTTGTGCAGATACATGTGGTAAAAAGGTAATGTAAAGCGACATACCACACATTACAACATAAAGCATGTTACACCAAAAATGATGCAATTTAAGTACTACATGGGGCTACACAGTATGCAGAAGCAGCACAAGCTGTTGTAACCTCAACCACCTTACTGCAGGATCGTACCTTTACAAGACCAACACCCATCTTCTTCTGATAGGAGGCAGTACCGACACTTCACATGCCCGCAGGCGTCGGTGACGAGCCTGTTACCTCTTCCAGCCACCAGGCGGCGACACTGCGGACAGCCGCTACCGACTGAAATAAACACCGTGAAACACTTCAGAAACATCAAAAGTACAAACAGCTATCTTTCTGCTATGCTTCGACAAATCCCAGTACTCTTCCTCAAAATTATCCAGCTACTTACTCGCTTAAATAAAAACATAATCAAGCTAAAATTTCATGATTTAAAAGGAGTATCTCACCTTGCTTGTACTTTTCACTTACTGTTACATCAGACGCGGACACTGATCAGCATTACCAGTGTTCTCGAAATCCTTCTCAAAAGCTCAGGATATCGATTTGAGGTAGCTTACACTGCGGGAGAAATCTCATTTGACTCCCTGATCACCTCTATGACAGAAATATATATATATATATATATATATATATATATATATATATATATATATATATATATATATATATATATAAGTTGCATTGTTTTCCAATGAGCATGTTCTGTTTGCAAAACATTAATTGTGAGAAAATGCTTGTGATAAATGCTATGAAAGCTTAAAACACTTCATTTAGACAAAAAATCCAAACATGATGTCACAATCACACAAATTCAATGGAATGTTGCACATTCCATTTAATTTCCCTCCCATGGCATTTACCACAGCAGTTCTTTTCTAGGCGCACTTTGGATTTGGGAATGGGGGTATCACATGACCCATGTGACACACTGGTTTGAACTTCAATGTGCTGCTCAGTAAAAGGCCCTGTTGCCCCTGGGTAAATCACAAATGTTCTTTTCTTGCACCAATAAAGGTGCACACGATGTTGTCATGACGACGGTGGTCGTCACTGCGGGGAAGGAATACTGAGCTGCCATGAAGCGATTACGGCATAATTTGGACTAGAAAATGAGTAGAATTGATATCCTTGTCATGTATTCACAGTGCTGCAGTGACACTACTCAATGCTATTGTTAGATGTAACTAGTCATAAAGTTTCACTGGGAGTGTCAAGACTTTGAGGTAATTTAAAAAACGTCCTCTTGTGAAACCTCCGGACCAGTGACACCTATTGATAGCACTGCGTAGTGTCTCTGCAGCACTATCAAGATAAACTGAAAACAAATTCAATGATTGTTAAAAAGGTACCTGAAACATTCAGGTTGTTAAACATTCATTTGTTCACAAACATTCACAAGCATTTGTTGAAACATTCAGTTCTAAGATCCCATGTTAGTATTCCACATTAATATGGGGTTTTGAACTGAGATAGCCACCTTGAAAACCTTTGAGTGCTGTTGGCTCAATTCTGCAACTCTATCTACAACTCTGCCTTTCTCAAGACCCATGCCCATTTAGTTTCTGAGCTACATGCCTGTGAAAATGGGGGAGGGTCTTTTGGGGAGAGTACTTCAGTCACCTTGGCATTCATGACATCATAGTATCATTCAAATCATGTCACTCCATAAGCCACACAGCCATCAAAGCCAACAAATGTATAATTGCTGAGGCATTCATTCCTGGCATTTGTGAGCACCATTTCCACATCTAACAGCCATCAATCAGCTCTAAATCAATGTTGTGCAAGTAACCATGATGTAATCAAACCATGATGTGTTGAAAAGCATATTCACTAAACAGAGGGTCATGCTGTCCAGAGCAGTCTTTTTCACTTAAAAAACATAGCAATAGTTATCAGTCACCTTGTTTGATCATATCTGATGCTTGCTTCAAAATCCTCAAATGTGAAACATTGCCTTTAATTATTTTTTGTCCCAATTACTTTGCTAAACTTTTGCCACAGCACTACCCTTCTTGCCTTCTTGGTACTGCAGTGTAGTTCTGAGTCCATGACAATGTGGATGTTGTGACTGCCCTCAATATGACATGGGAGAATCTGCTCTGGACAGTCATCATCTGCTATTGACTAGAGGTACTGTATTTGAGCTGATTTAACCAGCTCAATGCAGGCTGATAGGCTTCAAAGAAACACCTCTACTTGCATGGATCATGTTGGTACAAACAAACATTTGTAAATGGCGGTGGGCAGGAGGTGAGGGACAAACCAAAAAGCCTGTTCGTTGAAAATTGAGTTAGTGCACACTACAGACCATGTAACACTGTTTTGCAATGAGAAAGCACATTTCAAAAATGTCACTGTGCTTAATATGACAGTGGACAAATAAAAACCATGCCATAATGCATCAATGAATTTGCATCACAACAGCCTAGTGTTTGCATACCTGTTCCCCCAAACTGTGTCTTAAGCTTTCCCAACATTTATAACACAGCCATTTTATAATTTAGTTTATTACAAAATTTACAGATAACAGAACACACATGTTGATAAAAGCAAGGCAAGCAAAAAGTATTTATGTCATAGTGGTGAGCAGGGAGCCTGACAAAATCTGACTGTATTGGCCACTGAGCAGCTACCTCAAGTCCAAATTCTAAGTTTTTCAGATGGACTTCTAAAAACCTGCCATAATCAATCCAATCAGATGAATCTAACTTGGATGCAAGAGAAAAGCACAAGGTTCAAATAATCTCTCTTTAAGATATGCACACAGTTGTACACAACATGGTCCATGGTTCACTTACCATTTTGAGCCATTCTGTCATCATGCGGAGTGGACACTGAACGCTTGCTTTTTAAGATGACACATTGGGGGGGGGGGGGCCGGCAACTCTGGAAATAAATTAGAATGTTATACAAAGCACAGTTCTACAGCAAATGATTTAACACACAACTTTTGCCCTCAGCAACTGCAGCTGAATTAAAAATTTGGATGTTTTTAGGAGATCACATGACAAGCTTTTTTTGATGGGGCATACCTTACACAAAACCCAGCAAATTAGGACAGCAAGAAAAGTGAGCTCCAGCTAAGGATAGCCTCTGACTTTTGTTAACTTCAAATGACAACACCAATTTTTTAAGAAATGCTTCAATGTGTGATGTGAATATCAGACATGCATGTGACAAATAAATGGCAACGTATAACAGGCGATGGTGTGTTAACTTAAGGCACTGCAAGCAAATGTTCGGTAAACTTCGTCCACGTCATATCATGCAAAGCCGCTCGATGTCATAAACTTAACCCCCAACCTGAAAGGAGCGGGGCAGGGTCGATGCGACCCTAAGATTTGGTAACGCCTCAGTAAGCCTCACACTCAGCAAAACGGTCCCTTTCACCTGAATCTAGCGGGCCACCTATACAATATTGTTATAAACATATGCGCCGGTCATTTATCAAATTGTCAAACACCTTCATACACTTCTCTGCCCTATGTCATGTCAATAAATCGCATTCCCCTCACGTTCGTCACTCACACAATTTACACGACCGGGCGCAGGAATCAGCGGTGAAGTTGTCAGCTGATTGTAGTGAAGTTCGCTTACACTTACAGCTGATTGTATGGTGACGTCACAAAGCCACAAAATCACTGTCAACCGTGGTAGGTCGCGTTTGTAAGTTCCGCAAATAAGTGATCAGATCCTGGCGCTTTCCATCACGTGGTCCCCGCCAGAAGGACGGCAAATAATGAATAAAATTTGTATGGTATAGAAATACGCTCTTGCCCCTTTTTGCATGATCTATGAGATGGGTATGAAATGCGGCCGGATGGCAACCAGCGTGACCCGATAGGACCAGGCCAGCATATACACAGTGTCAGATGGGATTCGACGGAAAAGACCAAGCCAGGAAAACTGGGCGTACAAAACAAGAAGGCTGGATAAAAAAGACGAGACCGGCGGGCCGCACAGATTGAGATAGGACCAGACGGGACAAGGCATAACTAGACGGGATGAGACGGGATCCGAGGGAACCGTACATGACAGAAAGGAGCGTGACGAGACGGAACATACAGAATGAAACCAGGCGGAACCGGATAGAGCGTGACGGGGCCAGCCGGAACAGAGCAGGATAAGGTTAGATGTTTATGGAACGGACCGGACAGGAACGAATGGGACCGGACCAAACCGGACTAGACAAAACGACAAGGCGTAATCAAACTAGGCGCGCGGCCAGAGCATTGGCAGTGGGGGGGGGGGGGGGGGGCACAGGGTTGACAAAAGGCCTTCCCATAATGAAAAGCCACCTCCTCTCCAAAACCACGGGATATCCCATTTGTTTATGATTGCATACGGCCGAAATCGAGGAAAGCTCTGTCTCAGCGGTCGCCAATCGGTACAAGACACTCTCTGACATTTGAGTCCACGGGCCTACGAGCGGTAACTCCTAAGTCATTCGAGCCCTTTAGCTTTCCAATCGGGCCCTTGATCTTTGGTTCCGAGGGCCCTTCGGCCCTTCTTCGGGCCCCCTCAAGCACCGCTCCTAGTAGACTCGGGGCCGCCCGCCGCCTTATGACCCCCTGTTAGGCACTGTGGGCCCTGACCGACGCAGGGGCGTTAACCATTGTTTCAGGGATCCAGACTAATGTAGTTCGTGGCCCGGCCTTGCTCCTGCTCGGGGATTGGATCTCAGGGTCTAGACTGACGGGGCGAACTGTTCGGTGCTCGCGACTCTGGCCAACCGGGACATCCGCATCGTCTCAGGGGGTCCCCAAGGGTCACATGGAACACTGCCCTCGGTCGGTTCGGCACTCCTTGCAAACACAGGACCCTCTGTTGGGCATTCCGGACCCCTGACAGATGCCGAGACCACGACCAGTGTAAATCACTGGCCCCGGCCTTGTAGCTGATTGGGAAGTGGGCCCTCAAGCCCATGCCAACACAGGGCTGACTTGCAGGACTGGTGGTGCCTGACCGACAAATAGGCCCACATCAACTCAGGGATTCCCCGATGAGCACAAAGCGCTTTCCGACTACCATGTAAGGACCCGTTCCCGCAGGCTGAAGCACCTGAATAAAACCCGACCAGCCTTTCGTGCCTTTAAGACCTCCAATGGGGCCCTTGATCGTCGGTCCCGATGGCGCCTCCAGACTCTTCTGGCCTCCTCGAATACTACCTCTGGCCGACTCGGGCCCCTTGCCAACGCAGGACTCCCTGATAGGCGCTGCATTGCCCTGGCAGCCGCTGGGGCCCGACCAATGACAGAACTGGACCGGACCAGACAGAATCAGATATGACGTCATGAGCAGAGGCGGAAACTGGCGAAACAGACCAAAATAAGGAGAACCGGGCAGGATGAGACCAGACGGGACCGGATGGACCCGGAAGAGACCTGACCAGACCGTTTGGGACAAGACGGGACAGACGGAACTTGCCGACGGAATGCCCCTGTTCGGCATTTCGGCCCCTGACCAACACATGACCGCTCTCGTTTTCAGGTGACTCAAACAATACAAATCGTGAGCCCGGCCTTGTTCCTCCTCGGGAAATGACCTCCTGGGCTGAGACCGACACGGAGCTAATTGTTGGGTGTCGGTGGTCTCCGGCCAAACTAGAGGCCCACATTGTCCCGGAAGATCTCAATCGATATAAGGGCCCATCTGACTGACATTTGAAGCCATGGCCCTGCGAACTGGGATCCTGAATGTGACCTACAGCCAGCTCTTCGCGGCCTTTAACCTTCCAGCCAGGCCCTTGATCGTCAGTTTCGAGGAGTATTTTGGGCCTTTCGTTGCACCCTTCGACCACTGTCCTGGTCGACATGGGATGCCTCGCCAATACGGGGCCCTGTGGACTCCCGGCCAACCCGGGGCCCTCACTGGCTCAGGAGTTCAACCAATGTAAATCACGGGTCCCGGCCTTGCGCTTGCTTAGGAAATTGTCCACAGGTCCAGCCCGACACGAGGCTAGCTGTTAGGTACTGGTGCTGCCCAATCAACATAGATGACCTTAATGACTCAGGGGCTCCCAGTCGACGAAAATGGTCCTCTGGCTGCCATTAAGGGTCTGGCATCGTAATTCAGGCCGAGAGGAGCGGCACGTGCCCCTGTGACCTTCCTGCATGCACCGTTGCCCAGGCAGCATTGTAAGGGGTCTTCGAGCGGATGTGAGGAAATTAATAGTAACGTGGAAGGTTTCTCACAAGTCAGATTAACCCGGCAAGAAAACATGCAGGGCCCTAGCAGGAGAGCCCTCTGGACAGCGTAGTGAGTCTTAATATTTGCCCAAATGTGTTACGTTTTGTGCTAAAGCTGCTTCCGTCTGCCGGCTGTGGGCCCCTTCGCAACCTATTAGCCCCTTGGGGATACACGAAAAACTGCCAAACTGTTTACAGTTTCGTACGGGACTAAACGTCTAGTGGACGATTCATAGCCAGGAGTCAACAGTGCGTAACAGGGGGCCCTGTGCGAACAAGGGGACCGAGTCGACCAGGGCAGTGTTCGAGGGGTCCTAAGAGAGGCCCAACACACTCCTTGGGACTGACGATCAAAGGCGTGATTGGAAGGCTGAAGGGCCCGAAGAGCTGGCTGTAGGTCACGTTCAGATCCCAGTCTGCGGGACCGTGACCTCAGATGTCAGTCGGATGAACCCTCGCATCGATTGAGATCCTCTGAGACAGTGCGGGCCTCTAGTTTGGCCAGAGACCACCAACCCCCAACAGTTAGCTCCGTGTTGGTCTAAGCCCAGGGGGTCCATTTCCAGAGGAGAGACAAGACGGAAAACGGGACGGGTCATGTGTTGGTCATGGGCCCGCAGTGCCGAAGAAGGGGCCTTCCATCGCCAAGTCCTGTTTGGTCCCGTCTTGTCCTGTACGGTCCGGTCAGGTCTCTTCCGGGTCCATTCGGTCCCGTCTGGTCTCGTCCTACCCGGTTATTCCTTATTTGGCCTGTTTTTAGCTGGTTCCGTCTCCATTCATAACGTCATATCCGGTTCTATCTGATCCGGTTCGGTTCTGTCGAGGTCTACATGACACTATTCTGGTGCATCCGATTCCTTTCGGTCACTTAAGATGCTGTTCAATCCTGTCTGATCCCGCCCGGTCGTGTTATCCGGTCCGGTTTGCTCCGGGCCCATTCGTACCTGTCCAGTCCGTTTCAGTAACACCTAATCTTATTCCATTTGGTTCCGTTTGGCCCCATCACGTTCCATCCGGTTTCGTCTGGTCCCGTTCTGTATGTTTCGTCTCGTCAGGCTCCTTTCAGTTATATATGGTTCCCTCGGATCCCGTCTAATCCCGTCTGGTTTTGCCTTTCCCGTCGGGTCCCGTCTGGTCCTGTCTTCAGGCTAGCCTAGTCCTATCAGGCATGGGTGTCGATGTCTCAAAATGATTGTGGTGGGGATGGGGTGGGGTGCAGAGTCGTGGGAGTCGCCATAAGGAGACAGATACGAAAAACTTTGCAGTTTGATTTACCGATGGCGACGATACATTATTCAAATATATATATATATATATATATATATATATATATATATATATATATATATATATACATATATAATCTACACTTAAATTATTATTAAAGCTGATGTGCATGGTTACAGCAATCACAAGTGAAAGCCTGGCAATTTGCATAATCTTCTTATAAATGCATCTGAGTTGCATATCTGGATGCTTGCAGTTGCAACGATAAAGCTCATATTGTGAAAATCAATATCTGGGCATAATTTACGATGATATGCTTTGGTAACTTGTGGTGCATTTATTGTCATATTTACGAGAATAATACATCCCCCATATATGTGACTATCGCAATCCAAGATTAAAGGTGTACAATAAAAATTCAAAGTTAGTTACAATATCAACATTTCATAATCAGATCCAAAAATTGCATCGACACAACATAGGAATTTCATTCAACGTAAAACAAAACGTAAGCACTCCTCCATGCATCACTTCAGAGCATGCAGTTATCAGCCTTTCCCCAACTACGTTTAGGCAGATAACCTATTGAGAATACCTGCGGGGCACTGTCCTGAGCTGTTGTGACTCTAAGGGGAAAGCCACGCTTTCCCGCTCCATTTCGAAT